ACAGCGTGAGTGACACACCTGGGGACACCTGGGGACACCTGGGGACAGGGGACACACACCTGGGGGCAGTGACACAGGGGACATGCTGAGCCCTGCCACCTCCGACAGCGTGAGTGACAGGGACACACACCTGAGGACACCTGGGGACACCTGGGGACAGGGGACACAGGGGACATGCTGAGCCCTGCCACCTCCGACAGCGTAAGGGACAGGGACACACACTTGGGGACACCTGGGGACACCTGGGGACAGGGGACACACACCTGGGGGGAGTGACACGGGGCACGTGCTGAGCCCTGCCACCTCCCACAGTGTGAGTGACAGGGGACACACACCTGGGGACACGGGACACACACCTGGGGACACCTGGGGACAGGGGACACACATCTGGGGACAATGACACAGGGGACATGGTGAGCCCTGCCACCTCCGACAGTGTGAGGGGACACCTGGGGCCATCAGGGGCCATCAGGGGCCATCAGGGGACATCTGGGGACATCTAGAGACATCAGGGGACAATGACACAGAGGACACCTGGGGACATCAAGGGACATCAGGGGACATCAGGGGACATCTGGTGACACTTGGGGACATTCACGGACACAGGAAAGCAGTGACAGGGGCACACAGGGATCCGGGGGCCGTGGGGATGGGGACAGGATGACACAGTGACCCCAGGGGGGTGACACGGTGACCCCAGGGGGTGACCCGGTGCCCCTTGTCCCCAGATGGCCTGTGAGTACCTGTCCCTGGAGGTGATGGAGCGCTGGATCATCCGTGAGTGCCAGGGGGGCACGAGGGTCCCCAATCCCCAAACCCACTCGGGCACGGGGACCCCAAACCCCCCCTGGGCATGAGGGTCTCCAAACCCCCGAATCCCCCTTGGGCACAGAGGTCCCCAACACCCCAACTCACGTGGGCATGGGACTCCCCTGGGCACAGGGACCCCAAACCCCCAAGCCCCTCCTGGGCACGGGGGCCCCAAAACCCCCCTGGGGCATGGGAACCCCAACCCCCCCCTGGGCACGAGGGTCCCCAAACCCCCCAAGCCCCTCCTGGGCATGGGGACCCCTCCTGGGCACCCTGACCCTCCCCGTCTAGGGGTGCCCCCTCCCCACCTTAGGTCACCCCCTCCCTGTTTTGGGGTGCCCCTTCCCCATTTTGAGGTGCCCCCTCCCCACTCTGAGGTGCCCCCTCCCCATTTTGAGGTGTCCCCTCCCCACTTTGGGGTTGCCCCCTGCCCATTTTGGGGGTGCCTCTGTTCCTGGGGTGCCACCCTGCCCGTTTGGGGGTTTCCCCTGTTGCCGTGCCCCCCCCCGACGCATTGGGGTGCCCACAGTGGGGTTCCTGCTGTGCCCCCTTCCCGTTTTGGGGGTACCCCTGTTCCCGGGGTGCCCCCTCCCCATTCCCGGGGTGCCCCCTGCCCATTTTGGGGGTTCCCCCATCCCTGTGCCCCCCCTGACGCGTTGCGGTGCCCGCAGTGGGGTTCCTGCTGTGCCCCCTCCTTATTTTGGGGGTGCCCCTGTTCCCGGGGTACCCCCTGCCCGTTTTGGGGGTTCCCCCGTCCCTGTACCCCCCCCACGCAGTGTGGTGCCCACAGTGGGGTTCCTGCTGTGCCCTCTCCCTGTTTCAGGGGTGCCCCCTGCCCATTTTGGGGGTACCCCCTGCCCATTTCAGGGGTTCCCCCATCCCTGTGCCCCCCTGACGCGTTGGGGTGCCCGCAGTGGGGTTCCTGCTGTGCCCCCTCCCCATTTCAGGGGTTCCCCCATCCCCGTGCCCCCCCGACGCGTTGTGGTGCCTACAGTGGGGTTCCTGGTGTGCCCTCCCCGTTTCAGGGGTGCCCCCTGCCCATTT